CTTTTTTTTTATTTCAAGATTAATTGAATGATTAAAAAGGCTATTTGTAAAGTTAGTGTTACCATTCATTTAATTACTAAATAGAAAAAATGTAAAGTTAACCTCTTTAAATCAAAATTATTAAAAATTTATTGCATTATTTAGAAACCAATAAAATATACATCATTAAAAAAAAAATAAAGTTTGTATCATTATTTACATATTTTCTCTTTTTAACATTTATATTAGGCAAGGGTTGGTTCCAAAAGGAAAAAAAAATTAAAAAGGGAATATTAGGCTAAGACTTGGTAAAATTGAATCAAATCTAAAAATTTGACCTAACTCAGATGTTGTGAATAGAGTCATAGGTTTAAGATATGAATTCATAATTTGATATGACCTAAATCGTAATTACCTAGATCCAACTTGGTTGGATCAGGGTCATATTAGGTCAAGTAAATAAAAAATAATTCGGTTAAAATTAATTAATTTTTTAAATTTAAAATTTTAATTATTTATATTTTTAATTTTAATTTTTAATATAAAATAAAATATTATTAAATTACTAGAATTAATATTAATTTAATAAATTTTTTATTAAATTAAAAAAATATATTAAAAATTTTTATTTTTAATTTTAATTAAAAAAAATTGAGTTCACTAGAGTCTATTCAAAACCCATGTAGGTGGAATACATATCTACCCATTTTTTTGATATTAACTTCTATGTATTCAATAATAACGTTAATTCGATTCAAGTTAAATTTCATAAAATAAAAAAAAAAAAAACTCTCCTAATATTTGTCTCTTCATTTGTAAAATTGAATTTGAGATCTTGGTTAAAAAAAAACTAAACTCATTTTATTCAGATTAAAAAGTTGTTGATTAGATCTACTCTTTTAACTCAAAATCTAAAATGACCAAATTCAATAAATCAACAATCTAAAATATCTAATGCCAGCTCACCCGACTAAATAAGTTTGTCATGCCTATTTAGGCTGGAAGTCCAACAGGGTTTTATTAATTGTTGGTTTTTCTGCTCTCCTTTGTTGGTGTAAGGAATAGAGAGATGGACGTCCAATGTGAAGCAGCAGCTATCCCCATGGATAAAGATGGACATGGAGATGGAGAAGTTTATAACGACAATCCCATTGAGGAAGTGAGGTTGACAGTTCCGATCACCGATGATCCCTCGGAACCGGCCTTAACAGTCCGGACATGGTTTCTAGGATTATTGTCTTGCTGCATTCTCTCTTCTTTGAACCAGTTCTTCAGCTACCGACAAAACGTGCTCACTGTCACCTCTGTTTCCGCACAAATTATTTCTCTCCCCCTCGGAAAGCTCATGGCTGCTGTTCTTCCTACAACAAAAATCCGATTCCCCTTTACAAACTTCTCATTTTCCCTTAATCCAGGCCCTTTCACCATAAAAGAACATGCCTTGATCACCATTTTTGCAAATTGTGGAGCAAGTGGTGTTTATGCCATCTATATTGTTGCAACAGTGAAGGCTTTCTACCGCAGAAAGCTGCATCCAATCCCTGCCCTCTTGCTAGCCCAAACCACACAGGTATATATATGTATATCTAATAACGTTAATTCTTTCTTTCTTCTTCTTTTGTTAAATTTATTTATTCATCATGATGCAGTTACTCGGGTATGGATGGGCTGGAATGTTCCGAAAATACCTGGTCGAGTCTCCCTACATGTGGTGGCCAGGACTCTTGGTTCAAGTTTCTTTGTTCAGGGCATTACATGAGAAAGAAAGTAGACCCAAAGGAGGACTTAGTAGGCTGCAATTCTTCCTCATAGTTTTCATCTCAAGTTTTGCTTACTACATCATTCCGGGATTTCTCTTCCCCTCAATTTCTGCCCTCTCCTTTGTGTGCTGGATCTGGAAGGACTCATTGACTGCACAGATGATTGGCTCAGGCCTCCGTGGCTTCGGAATAGGCTCCTTTGGCCTTGACTGGTCTACAGTGGCTTACATGGGCAGTCCACTTCCTTATCCTTTAATTACCATTGTGAATATCATGGTTGGATTTTTCCTAGTGTTTTACGTTCTTATCCCAATTTTATACTCGAGAAATGCATATGAATCCCGACGTTTTCCTTTGTTATCGTCCCACACCTTTGATCTCCAAGGTAATACTTACAACATTAGCAGGATCCTCAACAGCAAAACTTTTGAGTTCAATCAGGCTGAGTATGATAATTACAGCAAACTCTATATGAGTATCACATTTGCCATTGTATATGGATTGCAATTTGCGACTTTAGCGGCCAG